GTAGTGCATTCCTCCTCCCCCGCCAGCCGATCTGCCCCTGTAGCTATCCCAGCCGTTGTCAACCTTGTTAGACTGAAGTCACCCCTGGTTAGACTTGAGGCACCCTTGGGAAATGCCAGCTCTTAGCTTTCACTCGTTTCTTGACCATGACAAAAAAAACCCTACGGCACCCTGCTTGAGAATCCCTGTGCTATCCTAAAGATGCCTTTTCTGGTTAATAGATGTGTGGCTAAAAGGAATAAAATGTGTCCAAGAAGCCCACAAGGACCAGGTACTCTGAGTTACACACTTTTTTCTGTTAAATCTGGGACTGAAGTTACATTATATTATGCAGTATATTTTGTAGAGAGTCTCCCAGAAAAGCTATGCCCTTGAATGTTTATTGGGTTATAAACATAGCTGCAAACTTGACAGCCCTGCCCCTTGGTATATACATTGTATAAAATGTAAAATGATGTTCTTAGTTATATAGTGACAAAGTAACTGTATGGTTCACTTTAAACTGAGACTGAAGCTGCCAATCTTGTCTCTGCCCTGACAACAAAAAACAAATCACTAGGTATTGGTCTGCATTTATTTCCACCCCCTGCCCCCCAGTGCAGTGCAAGATGGAGGAGATTGTGTTTGGGGATAGGCTTGCACTGTGGGCATCATTTACTATTTCCAGCTGTGGCGGTCCAGGCTAGCTAGTCTGAAGTTTCAAAACGCATTGCTACAGACTGAGCTCTGAACCACAGAAAGGGTGTATCTGTAATTACAACAGCATTCTGTACAGGAAGTGCTAGGACTTTCACACTGACTTGTGTTGAGCAAAATATTGTTTTAAGTCCAGTCATATCTTGCATGGTTCAGCATGCCAGCCTAGGCAAGGTCACAGTTCCTCTCCTGGGAATTAAGTCCTTTTTTTAAATTACACAAAGTCAGGTGTTATCCCTGTCTCTATGTGAAACTGAAAGAGAAATTTCCTGTGAACTGCATCAAGCACAAAGCTTAGATTAATTTAAACTGCCCTAACTAGTATTCTTCTCCCTCCACACACCTTTTCATTCTCTGTTCACTTGCTTCCCACTTAGTCTAAATTCAAGCTATTATCTATTCCTATAGTATCTACAAAAATGATTACCAAATTTTGGTCTACAGAGCACTTACTGACAGTTTATGGAAAAGCTTATTATGTGGTTCTGGCTCTTTCTGGCTCTTCTTGATTACAAAGATTCAATGAAGAACAACATTATGATCAACTCTTTAAAAAGGGGATGGTGGATCTAAAATATATACTCTTCTAATATTGTTCTTCCACGTAAAATTGTTTAATCATATGCATTACATTTGGAGAGAAGGTGGTTTGTATTTCACTCCTCAGACATAGCTCCCACCAGGAAAAGATCTTAGAATCCCTGTTCTCTAGGTTTATATTTAGAGAAGCAGTATTATTCACAAGAATCAAGGTAAAGTTGAGAGAACTACATCTTTGAGTTCTCATCCTAATTCTGCCATGGTTTTTTGTCTGACCTTTGGCAAGTCACATCAGATCTCTCCCACAGACCCCCAGGCCAGATTGTTAGATATGACATTTTTTAAGATCCTAAACAGGGAATGGTTAATCTAGTTGTAGCTGTCCAGTGCCCCATTAAGGACATTCTTAGTTGGTATAAAGTCAGGGGAAGCAGTTTCTATGACAACCTCCCCCCCACCTTTTGTGTGGGAATGGTATGTGGGGGGCAGAGAGTGAGGGTTGTGGTGTAGGAGGAGGTAGAACAAAGCTCCCCATAAGAATCTGAAGATGTACCTTAAGGGGGCGATCCTCCAAGCCCAAAGGATAACAGTCTCTGAGAGAAGCAACGGGGGTAAGAGTGCTCAGAAACCCCCTTGGCTCAGCAAGGGCATTCAGCAATGCCTGAGGACTAAAAGGGAGGCGTACAACCAGTGGAAGGGAGGAACTATTACCAAGGAGGAGTGTAGGACGGCTATTAGGAAGGCCAAGGCAGAGATGGAACTCAGGCTAGCGTCCAGGATT